TATCTATTTTTATTTTGAAATTTACCAGTAGCTGCTGCATTTCCCACCCTCGACTTATACTCGAGGCAATCCATTTTCCCATTTCTTTGTGGTAAAATTAGATGCCTCGGCTTATATTCAGGTTGGCTTATACTCGAGTATATACTGATATATGTATGTATCTGTGTGTATATATATATGTTATATATATGTGCCCATTCCCACAGGTGCCACCCATGGAGAACTACACAATGGCTGGACGCACATACCGCTACTATGGGGACGAGGCTCCGCTGTACCCATTTGGCTATGGTCTCTCGTTTACCACCTTTCAGTACAGCGATTTGATACTAGGTGCTGATGTTCTGCCCATTTGCGAAAACCTAACTGTCTCGGTGGTGGTGAAGAACATTGGCTCCAGAGATGGCGAGGAGGTGAGGTGGTTTGGTTGCTTCCTTACGTACATTTCTCAAGATGGTAGAAAGCAAAGAGGAAATAAAGGGTTGGAAACAAAGTCAGATACATTAAGTAGGTTCTGATGATTGAAGTGGGTGGAAACCACATGCAAAACCAAGTCTTTTGGCATTTTTCCTGAATGTTTATATCATTGCCCAAAGTCGTCAAAGAACACAGTCAGTAGCCCAATGATCCGCCACTATATCTCAGCATCTCCCATCTAGGGGAAGTTGCATATCATGAAGACATGAAGACATCTGCCCTTATGCTTTGCTATTCTGCTGCTGAGTACGCATGCCCAGTGTGGAATACATCTCACCACGCTAAAACAGTAGATGTGGCTCTTAATGAGCCATGCCGCATTATCATGGGATGACTGCGCCCTACACCACTGGAGAAATTACACTGCTTAGCCGGTATTGCACCACCTGACATCCGCCGGGAAGTAGCAGCGAAGTAGTGAAAGGGAAGTAGTGAAAGGACCAAGGCAGAGACATCTCCAGCTCATCCCCTGTTTGGGTATCAGCCACCACGTCAACGACTTAAATCTAGAAATAGTTTTCTAAGATCTACAGAGATACTCATAGGAACACCATCTTCCTTGTCCCCACCAATCACGCCTGCAAAGGAGGTGGGAGCGCGAGCAGGGCCTCTCCAGATGATCGAAGAGATCGTGTGAGTTCGTACACAGAAATGCGGTCACGCAGATAGGCGGGTCTCAAACCGTTCAGGGCTTTGTAGGTAAGAACCTGCACCTTGAATTGGGACCGGAAAATGAACGGCAGCCAGTGGAGCTCCTTAAACAGGAGGGTTGACCGCTCTCTGTAAGAAGCACCTGGCTGCGGCCCGTTGTACCAATTGAAATTCCCTGGCCGTTTTCAAGGGCAGCCCCACGTAGAGTGCATTACAGTAATCCAATCTGGAGGTGACTAAGGCGTGGACCACCCTGGCCAGATCCGACTTCACAACGTACGGACGCTATGCTCCTATTGATGCAGGCCAAAATCCCATTGGTGGCAAAAAAAGCCAATGGGATTTTGGTCTGCATCAATAGGAGCATAGTGTCTAGATCTAGGGAAGTAATGCTACCCCTCTATTCCGCTTTGGTTAGACCACACCTGGAATATTGTGTCCAATTCTGGGCACCACAATTCAAGAGAGATATTGACAAGCTGGAATGTGTCCAAAGGAGGGTGACTAAAATGATCAAGGGTCTGGAGAACAAGCCCTATGAGGAGCGGCTTAAGGAGCTGGGCATGTTTAGCCTGAAGAAGAGAAGGCTGAGAGGAGATATGATAGCCATGTATAAATATGTGAGAGGAAGCCACAGGGAGGAGGGAGCAAGCTTGTTTTCTGCTTCCCTGGAGACTAGGACGAGGAACAATGGCTTCAAACTACAAGAGAGGAGATTCCATTTGAACATGAGGAAGAACTTCCTGACTGTGAGAGCCATTCAGCAGTGGAACTCTCTGCCCCGGAGTGTGGTGGAGGCTCCTTCTTTGGAAGCTTTTAAACAGAGGCTGGATGGCCATCTCTTGGGAGTGCTTAGAGAGACAGAGAGGCTGGATGGCCATCTGTCAGGGGTGATTTGAATGCAATATTCCTGCTTCTTGGCAAGGGGTTGGACTGGATGGCTCATGAGGTCTCTTCCAACTCTTTGATTCTATGATTCTATGATTCTATGAGTCTTAATTGACTTAGTTGATGGACCACCTTTGCTTTGTGTATTGTTGAAGACTGAGTTGATGGGCCATCCTTGTTTTGTTTACCTTATTGCTTACTTCTGGCGTCTGCACTGTCCTATATTTGGTTGGAGGCCAGGAATGGCTTCCAAGGAGGCATTAGCTTGCTACTTTCTCTTCCTAATAGATTTTTTTGTCTCTGCAGGTGGTGCAGCTCTACCTCCGTTGGGGAAAGGCATCAGTACCAGTCCCCCGTTGGCAGCTGGTTGGCTTCCAGAGGGTCCTGGTGCCCCAGGGACAAGCCGTCAAGGTGCCCTTCCTGCTTTCCTTCAGCCAGAGAGCCGTATGGGCTGGGGAATGGCAGTTGGAGCCGGGCACTTTCACCCTTTTTGTCGGTGGGCAGCAGCCCTTCCAAGAAACCCGGGCCCCTTCCAACATCCTTCAAGCTGATTTCACAGTTTCGGGAAGCACACGCAAAAGAAGCCAATGCTAAGCACTGTGACTTATAGAAAACACAGTAAAAAACAATGCGGGCGCTCGTGAAGTTAAGTGAATGTAATTACATTAAGGCAGACCACATTTGGAGTGAAGAGAATCCAGTATATGATACGATGCTTCCCAAAGTGGGACTGACACGGCCATGGATTGGTATACCTTTTACCAGCATTGTTTGTGGAACAGTTTGCGATGGAATATAGGCAAAGGGCTTCCGGGGAAAATACAATATTGTTTTCTGAAACAAACCAATGTGTTCATTTTTTCCTGCTCTATTTGATTGGTTTTTCTGGAATGAAAGAGAAAATAAGGGTTTCTAGAAATGTTGTGCATTTGGGCTGCATTTGGCCCCTGTGCATCATCTTATGCATACTAGTAGTAATAGTAGTAGTAACGAAGGAGAGGGATGTGTTACACTCCCCCTGAAGACGCAGGTTCGCAGCTTGGGAGTGATCCTGGACTCATCGCTGAGCCTGGAACCCCAGGTTTCGGTGGTGGCCAGGAGAGCTTTTGCACAATTAAAACTTGGGAAGTCTGATCTGGCCACAGTGGTCCACGCTCTCATTACATCCCTAATAGATTACTGCAACGCACTCTACGTGGGGTTGCCTTTGAAAACTGTTTSGAAACTTCAATTAGTCCAGCGAGCGGCAGCTAGATTACTCARCGGAGCGTSATACAGGGAGCATACCACCCCTCTGTTATGTCAGCTCCACTGGCTGCCGATCCAGTTCCGAGCACAATTCAGCYAGATTATAAACGCTGAGCACTAGATTGTTTTTAGGGACTGTGATATGGATTGTTTTAATTGTTTTAATTGTCTAATTAAWGCGCCCGTACCTCGGGAAGTCTGATCTGGCCACAGTGGTCCACGCTCTTGTCACATCCCGTATAGACTACTGCAACGCACTCTACGTGMGGTTGCCCTTGAAGACTGTTCGGAAACTTCAGCTGGTCCAGCGAGCGGCAGCCAGATTGCTCACCGGAGCGACATACAGGGAGCACACCACCCCCCTGCTATGTCAGCTCCACTGGCTGCCGATTCAGTTCCGAGCACAATTCAAGGTGCTGGTTTTGACCTACAAAACCCTTTACGGTTCCGATCCAGCGTATCTGTCCGAACGTATCTCCCTCTARGTCCCACCACGGAATCTGAGATCATCTGGGGAGGCCCTGCTCTCGACCCCACCACTATCACAAGTGAGGCTGATGGGGACGAGGAGCAGGGCCTTCTCAGTGGTGGCCCCCCACCTGTGGAACTCTCTCCCGGGGGAGATCAGGGCATCAACATCCCTCCTTGCCTTCAGGAGGAAGGTAAAGACGTGGTTGTGGGACCAGGCCTTTGGACACCCTGACAATGAGATATGGAAACCAGATGGATAGGACCGACAATTTAGTGGAAACTGGAACTTGAACTATGAGACCCTGTAACGCTGACCATTAATGAGGTTTGTATTGATTTTATTGCTTTTATTGGTTTTATGGTTGTTTCTGCCGATAATAATTATTGAATTCTGTTAACTGTTATTGCTAAAAATTTATTGTGTTAACTGTTGTTATTGTCCTTTGCTGTTTGTGATGCGGGCATCGAATTGTGCCTCGCTTTTGTAAGCCACCCTGAGTCCCCCCCCCCCCCCCCCCCCCCCCCCCGCCCCCGGGTGGAGAAGGGCGGGATAGAAGTGTGAGAAATAAATAAATAAAATAAAAAGGTGATAATAGGAGGGGTGGGGTGCTGATAGACAACTTCCTTCTCTTTTTTCCTCCTCCTTAGAATAACTGCAATGTGTGCATATAACCACCAGATAGAGCTTTGCACACACTTTTAAAAGGTTCCCATTCATAGCAATCCTAGTGTGTGTTGTAGAAGGCATTAGTGGCTGGAATCACTGGGTTGTGTGAGTTTTTCGTGCTGTATAGCCATGTTCCAGCAGCATTCTCTCCTGATGTTTCACCTGCAACCATGGTTGGCATCTTCAGAGGTTCTGTTGATATGAAGCAAGTGGAGTATACATATACATACATAGGTAAAGGTAAAGGTTTTCCCCTGGCATTAAGTCCAGTCATGTCCGACTCTGGGAGGTGGTGCTCGTCTCCAGAGGCAGCCCTAAGTAATTTTCAATGGTAAACAAACAGTATTTTGCACCCCCCCCCCAAACCAATCATTGATATATATTTTCTGTCCGTCATGGGAGTTCTGTGTGCCATATTTGGTTCAATTCCATCATTGGTGGAGTTCAGAATGCTCTTTGATTTTAGGTGAACTATACATCCCAATAACTACAACTCACATATGTCAAGGTCTATTTTCCCCCATGAGCGCCTCAAGAGCACCCCTGGGCAAAATTAACTGTACTGCGACTGCTTACTTTGCGTAATGGGTTGAGCCGCCCCTGCTCGTCTCCATTTCTAAGACAAAGAGCCGGCATTGTCCATAGACACCTCCAAGGTCATGTGGCTGGCATGACTGCATGGAGAGCCGTTACCTTCCCGCCTTAGCGGTATCTATTGATCTACTCACATTTACATGTTTTCGAACTGCTAGGTTGGCAGAATCTGAGGCAGATAGCGGAAACTCACGCTGTTCCCCAGATTCGAACCTGCGACCTTTCAGTCAACAAGTTCAGTAGCTCAACGGTTTAACCCACTGCACCACCTGGAGCTCCAATATATATATCTATATAAATAAAAAAATGTAATGTTCGTTTGTGGGATTAACAGAACTCAAAAACTACTGGGCAAATTGACACAAAATTTGGACACAAGACACCTAACAACCCAATCTATGTCCTTCACACACAAAAAATTGATTTTGTCATTTGGGAGTTGTAGTTGTTGGGATTTATAGTTCACCTACAATCAAAGAGCATTCTGAACTCCACCAACGATGGAATTGAACCAATGTTGGCGAAGGCGTTCATGGCTGGAATCACTAGGTTTCTCTGCATAGTCTCTACATAGGATAGTCTCTACATAGTCTCTGAGGATGCTTGCCATAGATGCAGGCGAAACGTCAGGAGAAATGCCTCTAGAACATGGCCCTATAGCCTGAAAAAACCCACAAGAACCTAGAATTGAACCAAACGTGGCACACGGTTCTCCCATGACCAACAGAAAATACTGGAAGGGTTTGGTGGGCATTTATGTTGTTTGGGAGTTGTAGTTCACCTACATCCAAAGAACACTGTGGACACAAACAATGATGGATCTGGACCAAACTCTACACGAATACTCAATATGCCCGAATGTGAACACTGGTGGAGTTTGGGGGAAAATAGAATCTTGACATTTGGGAGTTGCAGTTACTGGGATTTATAGTTCACCTAGAATCACAGAGCATTCTGAACCCCACCAACAATAGAATTAGACCAAACCTCCCACATAGAACTCCCATGACCACCAGAGTGGGCCGCAGCCATCCCCTGCCACGCGTTGCTGTGGCCCAGCCTGGTGATCTGGAAAATAAAGCAACGAGAAAGTGTTGCTTTCTAATACATGTAATTTCTTTATGATTGTGGGTATGTTGTTTCTTTGTCAGTGTTGATGTAGAGATTGTCTAGTTTGCCTACTCTGGAACATTCAACATATAATTGACTTTCTTTAGGGGTCCCTTTCAAATCTATGATACTATTATCTGTCATATACATATGGGGGGGGGAATCATATCTAACTATTTCTATGGCTGGATGGCTCTTTGTCAGGAGGGCTTTGATTATGTTTTCTTGCCCCTGGTGAAGGGAGTTAGACTGGATGGCCTTAAGGCAGCATTTCTCAACATGGGGATGTTGTGAGGGGGTGTCAGAAGGGTTGCCAAAGACCACCAGAAAACTCAGTAATTTCTGTTGGTCATGGGAGTTCTGTGTGGGAGGTTTGGCCCAATTCTATCATTGGTGGGGTTCAGAATGCTCTTTGATTGTAGGTGAACTATCAATCCAAGTAACTACCAAATGTCAAGGTCTATTTCCCCCAAACTGGATCTGTGTTCATATTTGGCCATATGGAGTATTCGTGCCAAGCTTGGTCTAGATCCTTCATTGTTTGAGTCCACAGTGTTCTCTGGATGTAGGTGAACTACAACTCCAAAACTCAAGGTCAATGCTCACCAAACTCTTCTGCAATGCTCACCAACTCTTCTAGTGTTTACTGTTGGTCATGGGAGTCCTGTGTGCCAAGTTTGGTTCAATTTCTTCATTAGAATTCAAAATGCTCTTTGATTGTAGGTGAACTATAAATCCCAGCAACTACCACTCCCAAATGACAATATCATATATTTTTTTTGAGTGATGGTCACTCTTTGGGTTAGTAGGTGTCTTGTGGCCAAATAAGGCGGCAATTCGTCCAGCAGATTTTGAGTTAAGGTGTCACTCAAAACGAACAGAGTATTTTTATATATATAGATATATATTTCTGGAAGAAAGAACCCTTGTCTGTTTAAAGCAAGTGTGATGTTGCAATTAGCAAGCTTGTATTTATTATTATTTTATTATTTCATATATGTATATCCCTCCCTTTTCCCCACAAGGGGGACTCAGCGCGCCATCACATGAGCATCGGAGGATGCTAACAGCCATAATACCATAAAAATTACAATTCACAATAAAATCATTTTAAAACATTATACAACATCATCAGTATAGTACTGAGTAGTCATAAAGGTGCAAAGTCAATCAGTGAGGGTAACTGTATAGAGGTAGCCTGGCCTCTGATGGCTGGAGGCATCCTCTGGGAGGTGTTAACTGGCACTTGATTGTTTGGTGTCTGGAGTTCTCCAGTTTGTGAGTGGTGCTTATTATTTATTCTCTTGATTCTGGTGTTTTTAAATACTGGGAACAAAAACAAAAAGAAAAAAAAACACAATGATCGAGACAGTCAATAATGAATGTCACTCTGTAACAGAACTCCAGACAGTAAGCAATCAAGTGCCAGTTAACACCTCTCAAACAGAGGATGTCCCCAGGCAATGATAAAATTGAACTCCCATGACCAACAGAAAATACTGGAAGGGTTTGGTGTGCATTGACCTTGAGTTTGGGAGTTGTAGTTCACCTACATCCAGAAAGCCCTGTGGACTCAAACAACGATGGATCTGGACCAAACTTGGCACAAATACTCAATATGCCCAAATGTGAAACTGGTGGAGTTTGGGGAAAATAGACCTTGACTTTTGGGGAGTTGTAGTTGCTGGGATTTATAGTTCACCTACAATCAAAGATTCTGAACCCACCAATGATAAAATGGGCCAAACTTCCCACACAAGAACCCCATGAC